TTTTACACTTAACTGTTGGGACTTTCACAATTTTGGGTTGTTGGGCATCCCTCAACACCAACCACTACCAGTTTCCACGAGGCTGACTTATTGGTAGTATTCTTCTTACACTGGCTCCTCAGACGTCCTTGCTCTCCACAGTTCCAACAACATTTCTGGGTAGCAGCTTTTCCTGCCATGGCATCATCCCTGTGTTGGCATTGCTGGCATTGAGCTCTCTTGTGCCCAGGTTTGTTACAGTGCCAGCAAAGTCCCTCAAACTTCTCTGAAAGCTGACCTTTTCTGGCCTTGAATCCTGATGACTGTACCAACCTTGGTACCTCGGTGCTGGAGTTAATGTAGAATTTAAATTCAAGAGCTCTGGCCATTGCATCCTGCATAGTAGAGGGGGTGTGCTTGCTCTACTTGTATCTTCAGTTCTGAACTGTCCAAGGCATCTACCAACTGATCCCTCAGCAACAGCTTGAGGACATCGGGTAGGCCTTGTGTGCCATACTTTCCAAATCCTGTGCCAGCTCTTGCAGGCTCTCCCCTTTAGCACAAACTCTCGTCCTAAACCTAGCCCTGTAGACTTCGGACTGATTTTGAGTTCCACACCTGATTTCTAGAGCAGCTACCAGTGCTCTATAGTTGTGCCTGTCGTCTGCTAACAACTGTCCAAGCATTTACAGTGGTTGTCCCTTCAAGCTCGTTGCCAGGTACACTGCTTTCTGCTCCTTTGTCCATCCATTCATCTCTGCCAGGAGCTCAAATTGTGCTCTATATGTTTCCTATTGTGCCTTCCCATCGAATTCCTGTGGCTTCTTTCATACTAGATCACCTCTATTGCTGACACTGATGTCTGGAATGAGAATTCTGGCATGACTGAAGATGTCTGCATTAGGGTTCAGTTGCAGGGTCTGGAAGGGGCTTCCTGTTGTCTGAGGCTGATTAGGTCCATGGTTAATATATCCTCCCTGTGTAAAAGACAGTAAATCGTCCTTTAATATATTTAATTCACTTTGAAATTTAGTAATATTTTGTATTTGTACTTTTTGCCACTGTTGCTGACTTTCCTGTAACTGTTGGAGACTTCCTTCCTGTTTCTTTTCTCATTCTTCTTGTTTCCTTTCTTGTTTTAGTTGCCACTGGTGCTGGTTTTCTTGCCAATGCTGTAGTCTTGTTTATTTTCTTTCTCCTCCAACAACTGCTGTAGTCTCTCCTCTTGTTTATTTTCTTTCTCCTCCAACCACTACTGTAGTCTCTCTTCTTGTTTATTTTCTTTCTCCTCTAACCACTGCTGTAGCCTCTCTTCTTGTTTCTTTTCTTTCTCCTCCAACCACTGCTGTAGCCTCTCTTCTTGTTTCTTTTCTTTCTCCTCCAATCACTGTTGTAGCCTCTCTTCTTCTTTCTTTTCTTTCTCCTCCAATCACTGCTGTAGTCTCTCTTCTTGTTTATTTTCTCGTTCTTCTTGTTTATCTCCATTTTCCTCCAACAACTGCTGTAATCTCTCTTGTTTATTTTGCTGTTCGAGCTGCCACTGTTGGAGGTTTTCTTGCTACTGCTATTGTCTCTCTTCTTGCTTCTTTTCTTTCTCCTCAAACCACTGCTGTAGTCTCTTTTCTTGTTTATTTTCTCATTCTTCTTGTTTCTTTTGCTGTTCTTGTACTGCTGCCATTAAATCTGCTAAGCTGTAGTTTGATTTGCTACTTCTTGTTTCCATCTTCTTTTTTTTTTCCCATCCCACTTTCTGACACCAATTTTCTTACGTATCTGCTTGTTTCCCGGAGTTCTCTGATAATTCTAGAAATTCAGTCACGCATGCGATAGCAGCATCACGTGACTTTCGCTGTCGTAACATTACCACTAATTTTTACACTTTCAACCAACTTTTTAATCATACTTTTTGTATTTCCTAATTTCCCATTTGACCAACTCTCTTGATTTCTCCCAAATCTCCTATAACTGTATTCAATTCAAACTTCTTATATTTCTGATGTTTTAATTATATTCTTTATATCCTTTATGAGCCAATGTGTTTTTTTTACTTGCAGCCATCCTTTTTTTTCTATGAGGAACATGCCTATTTCAAATATTTAAGAACTGAAATTTTAAAAATTTACACACTTGATCAATATCTCCAAATTAATTGAGTTGCCCAATTCAAACCCCGTTAAAATTGTTTGTAAATTATTCTCATACTGAGACAAAATGACTGACACTGGATGGTGCTGATGTTTCTGTCATGGTAACTTTGGTGATATGTAAATCAATCTATCACTCTATATACATAGATTGATCAAATATTTTGTCAGTAGCCAATAATCATCAATCAATGAACTGTAATCTCATTGTATAGTATCAAATGTAAGAGTTTATAAGTAATATGCATTGTAATTAGTTTGAAAAGGTTGTAATATTAATAATATTTTGTGCTAATTTAAGATCCTTTCTGCAAATGTCACAAAAAGTGTTACTGACTTACATTCAAAATTTAATTAAAACACTTTACTATGAAAGTATTTTAATGAAACTAGCATTATCAAATATGTTATAATTCAAAGTTTTATATTATCCAAGTTATTATTCCTTTATTTGAAAGAAACATCTGAAGTAAAGATTAAAATTCAATTTTGTTGTTACATGATGCATATGCAATTAAAATAATTTACCTTTGGTTTCTACTATTTCAGCTCTACATTGTGTAATGTAGACATTTTCATGCAAACAATCAAAGTACATGTATATAGCTTGATTACCAAAAACTTGAGTCAAATTCCAAGAACTAGACTGGAGGAAACCATTGTAAGATTTCCCATTCAAGATAAGCCACACCAACTTTCAAAAGTAGAAACAGTGTTGCTAAGCAACAGTTTTAACTTGAATGGTGTGCTTATAACCAATAGAAAGAGCAGATTTCACAGTATAATGCTGCAAGGTTAGCTGGAAACATAAGTGATTTCTCAGCTTACAATTGAAAGGGAAATGAAACAATGTCCATTGTTGAGATCGGTGTTCCTAATGCTTTGCTATTTTTCCTTGCCTTATACATATTAGTTTGATAGACAATTAAATTGCATTAGGTTTTTACTTTTATATTTCAGTTAATTATCTATTATTTGTTTTAAAATTCATATTTGAATGGTTTAATGATTTTTTAATATTACTCTGAGCTTTGCCTTGCTCAACAAGTCTTACCTAACTAAGCGAGTGCAAAATATTTTGCCAAAGGCTAAACTATCTCTGCAGATGATAATGTTATATTGCCTGCAGGCACGTGTTGATTTGTGTCATCATAAATATTAAAAGATAAAGTACAGGAAAGGGAAACAAAATATAAAAATATTGAATAGGTAAAGACGTAAAATTATGCATATGACCCAAAGATATTTTAAGATTATTAGCAAAGAGATGAAGGGTATGTACATATTTCTATTTCTTAATTTTAAACATTTCATTGCACTGTACGTTAATGATAATAACTAGAGCTAGTGATATATGGTAGCTAAAATGGAAAATAAAATATAAATATTTATCTTAAAAAACCAGTGATATTCATATAGGAGGTTCTAGAGATTAGGCAAATAAAGTGTGAAAACTGTAAGATTAAAAACAGCATTTTTATTCTTAACATGAAAATCACCTCGCAGGTAGCTATTAAAAGTCCAAGTGCAAATAACTACCTTAAGTAAACATTTTTTATTAGAAACAGTAGAAACATTTTTTTAAAATTATAATAAATGATTAAAAACAACATTTTATATTTACACAATAAAACTCCTTATTGAAGCCGTACAGCTTCCACTTTAAAATATCGCTCTACAAGTACATGTTTCGATGTGATCTACGTATAGTTAAAAAGTTACAGTTAAAAACCATTTAAACACAAGTGCCAGTAGTGCATATGCATATTTAGTAGAAAAAAAATTAAATGCTTTATTTTCTCAAACTAATGTGAAAAAGAGTGAGTCAGGGATATATCTTATCTCCATACTTGTTTAACCTGTACAGTGAAAACATCATGAAAATGGCTGGACTGGAAGAAGTTGAGGCTGGAATTAAAACAGTAGATAGAAACAGCAACAATCTAAGAGAAGTAGATAATACCATATTGTTAGCTAAAAGTGATGAATGCCTAAGAAAACTTTTTGAGAATGTTAAAGAGGAAATTGCGAGAGCTGGTGTGTTGTTGATCCTCAAGAAAACAAAGGTCATGTCATCCAGAACATTCATTGAATTGAAGGTAGGAAACAACCAAGTACAGGTAGTGGAAACTTCATTTTCCTGGGGTCCAGAATAGACAGAAGTGGTAGTTGTGCTGAAGATATCAAAAGAACTTTAAAGTTAGGAAGGACAACAATGTGAGGCTTGAGTAAGATAAGGATGTTTCTGGTACAACTAAAATAAGATTAGGAAGAATGTTGGTTTACCCAGTAGTGATGTATGGATGTGAAAGCTGGATGTTATGAATAAGTAACAGAAAGAAGATCAACTTATTTGAAATGTTGTGCTGGAGAAAATTGCTCAATATCCTATGGACAGCAAGGAGATCCAATCAATCAGTCCTGAACCAAATGGAGTGTACTTTTTCCCTTGAAACCATGATTCTTCAAAAATAAACTGACCTATTTTGGATGTGATGCAGAAAACAATGGAATAAAAAAACAATCACATTTTGTCTATGCAGCAGCTTTGGAATGCAACTGGTAATAGGTAGTCTTGGAGAGAGCTAGTCCATCAGGTCACCAGGAATTGATGTTGATTCAATGGAACTAAACTAATTAACTATTTACATAGTTTATACATTGTTTTAAAAAAATAATTTTTGAACACTGATCATCCTTCTAGTGTTATGAAATATTTCTCATATTGCCAGTACATGGTACATGTAGTTAAGCACTTGAGAAACCTAAATAACTAAAAAGAATGAATTTACAGTCAAAGATAGTTTTGATACTCTAGAACAATATTTTATACATAGTATAGTAAATGGCATATGTTGGAAATACTCTACAGCTTACCAAAACTTCATTTGTTTTAAACATAGCTGCACTTCTTAGATCAGGACTGTCTGTAGCTCTAACTATAACTTTCAGTGGCAATTTCTCCATTGGTATGTCTTCCAATGTTTTGGTATTGCTAAGGAATCCAGTGTTTTTGTCTATTCTGAAGAGTTTTTTGGGATCTGATTCTGGAACTATTTCATACAAGACCTTACCATTAGAAAATGAATCAGCATCTTCAGCCTGCAATATTGAAATTATATAGCAATTAGACAAAAGTGTTTTCCAGTTTCTCAATATTTGATAATAACATAAAGAACCTAAAAAACGTCAGTATCATTGTCAAAAATAAATCATCCATGAAGTTAATTTTGAAATGAATACAAAAAACAGAAATAAAACAGCTAGCTGAAACAAACAAGAATAAAAATAAAATGCATTGTTTAGACAGTATAACAGCTAACTGAAATAAAGGGTTGAAACAAACAGAAAATGTTTCTAGCTTTAAGATGGTCTGTTTTCATCCTGTACATACAAAAAAAAAAGTTAAGCCCAAGGAATACATTGATTATTTTATGAGGACCACCAATAATAAGACTTACTAAAATAAAAGTAAGCTTTATGTATTACAAAGGATTATTACCATGGAAACTAAAATTAATTTCACATAATAATTGAATGTTTGTAACTGTATTCTCAAAATGGTTTTAACAAATGTTTGAATATTAGCAGACATTTGGCCAATGTAAGAAGCATGGCACTCAGGTGAAGCAAACTGAATCAGGATCAGTTTAGCGTGTGTGTGTGTGTGTGTGTGTGTGTTGTGTGTGTGTATGAGACTGGGACAGGGAGTTGTCCCCTGAAATGCCTCACTCTCCCTCTACCAGTCAACAAAAGCTGAAGCTGGGACTTCACTAAATAAAGTGGAAGAAACAGTAAGATTGGCTTTTTATAGATTGTTGTGTCATCCACTGACAAAGATTTGAACCTTCATTGTATACTGGGAAAAAAAAAAGTGTATTTTAAAAAAACAAAGTCACTTATAAGTGTTTTATTGTATTTAATGTTAACCAATGTATTCTTAAATATTTGAAGTTCTAAAAATAAACACTATTTTTTGGCAATTTGTTTACTAATAAATATGTGTAATAAACATAAAATTTAGTGAATATCCCTGTAACAGGAAAAAGGTCATATATATATATATGTAGCCTCTAATAATGTTAGAAAGTTCTGTATCACTGACATTTAATTAAATTTAAAATTATCAAACTTCTACAATTTCAGTCACGATATTTTAAAGTTCACGTGCTACTACTACTATATGAAATGGGTTTGGCCTTACAGGATCCTTCACTACAAATAATTAATAAAATTAATTTATAATTTGTATTTATCAAGAAAGTAATTACTAAGTATTTACTCTGTCTTTACAAAAATTCAAAAAATATTAAAGATTAACTCTCTTTTCAGCAAAGATCTAAAGATAGCAAGCATATTTGGAGAAACAAAAGTGCTTGTGAGATGAAATACAGTCTAAATTTCATACAGAAAAAGCTTGTATATTTAATTTAAACTGCACATTTTAAAGTAAAATATACAGTGAGTCTACTGGTATTTCTGATAACTACACCACATTTGCAAGGTACAATAAAAACAGCTAAAAGTAACAGTTAAAACCTCATCTTGTCATGTTATGTGTAAACAACTTTGTATAATACATTTTTATTTATAGATTTTGTTAAAAATTTTAATAAATATTTATGTACTTAGCTAGATGAGCATAATATGCCTAACCTTAAACTGTGCCAATCTTGCCTTTAAGCAGTCAGAAAAAACTAGACTAGGATAATCATTCTTTTGTCTTTAAGTGACCAGCATGTTCAATAAATTGTTGACTGACTTTTAATGAATATCTGATATGTTGATTAGATGTGGAGACAGAGTTACTGGAAACTATGTTTTCTTTTTATGCCACATAATCTGAATGACATGGAACCTTGGGAGATTTTAAAGGTGCTATGAAATGAATGTAAAGTTTTCATATAAAACAGAGCTTGCTCATTCATAAGCTTGGACTGCCAATTAACCGAGGAAATTATACATATAAATTGATACTTATAAATATCTGTTTATAATCAATAACAAGTCTGAATTAGAATATTAAACCCCCTCACCTGAAGACATTCAGTGAAGCCCAAAAGATTGTGTTATATTACTTATGGCTATATTGCATAAGTTGGAGACAGAGATTTTAGTTTTAAATTTTATACATTTCGCATTTGTCTTTTGTGTGGATATGGAGGTTTTTAACCTTCATTTCATTATCATTTTTGTATAAGTCTTGTTTTATTTTTTCTTATTTTCTTATTTATGAAAAAATACTGGTATTTTATTTCATTATGATACTAATGAATCCTGTTTGTGGTTTTTTTCTTTATTGTATCGTTCTTTAATTAAGAAAAAAAGAAACAAAAACAGTATTATAATTTTACTTAGTATAAAATATTTTCTAATTGGTCTTACTATTTTATTAAGCTGTGGATGTATCATTTGGTGACCTGTCTTTCTACTGGGAATTTCAACTATGGTGGTTTTTGTTTGAAGTAATTTTAAGTATTTATCTTTTTTTTAACTAAATTTAGATATGACTTATATTCAAATTTAAACTTCATAATGGTGTTTAACTTTGTAACATGTGATTAATAGCTTTTTAGTATAAAAATTCATTATCTATTTTGGATTTCCCACAAATGAATGTGTGCTAACATTATTAGGAGATTTTCTGGTAAATCGACTTTTCTTTGTTTAGGTGTGCAGAAAATTACATCATAGATGTGCTAAAATAAGTTACACGTAAATTTTCTAAGTACATGTAAACAAATAAATGTATTATCAAAATTTGTAAACTGTAATGTTTCTATAGTTCAATGTTATCATTCCAAAACAATATACATTACAGAAGAGGGGATGCCTAGAGAAAAAGTGTCACATTTCTCACACTAGGGGAATTCAGGATTTTTTAAAATATTGCCTTACAAAATCCAAACTTATACACTATTAAAATATGGATTATTAGCTGTGATTTTATGCTTTACTAATCGATATAACAAACAAAAAGTAGTGTAATAAAATTTTTAATATAAGTCACTAAAAACCTCATGATATGCACAGTAAAGGATGCCTGTTGTAAAAGAGTTAAGTGATTCAACCAACTTTGAGAAGCTTGACCAACATCCTACTGATACTAGGAAAATAAAAAATACATTTAATTGAAACTATTATTGCTTGTTTGTTGAATTTGGTATAAAGCTACCTGAGGGCTATCTGTGCTAGCCTTCTGTAACTTTGAAGTGATAGACTGGAAAAAAGGTACCCACCATCAACAAATAGTGAAATTGATCAGCACATTATTATGGACCCACAGTTGAAAGGGTGAACATATTCAGTGACGGATTGCAATCCAAAACAATTACTTGACAAAAGTCTATGTGTATGTGTCAAATTGTAACTGACAAACCAATGGACCAATTGTCAACAAACCTGGCATGTACAAGACTCCCTGGAGAGTGACAGAGGGCAGCATTTAGATCTTACTCCAACCCACTCAAAGTCTTTTTACTTAGCCTTTGGTGATCATCTAGAGAAATTGTCCAGTGTGGTCATTCTAGCCTTACATACAGGAAGCTGAACAGTGTAAAGTAGAAGTTGAAAGAATTATATCTTGTTTACCTTGATGGTTACATCTCTGTTGTTAACTTGAAACAAAGTATCTCCTTTCAAAACTTTGTGTTCAGACTCTTTCATTTGTGGTGGAGTTAGACTTCCTTCTGCTTTGATTAGCAAATCTAGAACCTCCTGTTACTTTTGCCCATAACCAATTAACCAGTTAGTTTTTAAGTGCATCTTAGAATAATACAGTCATTATGACAAACCTTTCAGTACAACTAAAAATAGTAAAATGTCTGTATGTAATTTCATGCTGTATGTACAAGTCCACAAAATATTGTATTTTGTGAAAAAATTCTATATGATAATTTCAACTTAAGTTATTAAAGTTATATGAGTTACTTGGGCAAAAAGGAGTCTATTTCCTCTATTTTTAATTGCAACATGCAAAACAATAAAACATTACAGAAATTCAATCAAATTGATATCTCATGGTGATTATTTCAATTAAGAAATGTAAGGCCACCTATTTAATATTTGGTGAAACTGGTTTATCTATGGAACAAAATAATTTAATTGTACAGTATCAATATACTAATATGTTTTAAAACTATTTGTATTTCCAAATCCAAAGATATAATTTGAGAGAAATTGGAAGTTACTAGTAAAAATTTATCCTTCTTATTCCAAAATAAGGTAATACAAGAAATTTTTGTGCAGCATACAATGTCTGAAAATAAAGAAACAAAAAAGACATAAGGCAATTTTCTCCAAATGAAACAAGCTTATGATGTTTTATCAGTGACAGAAAGATCCAAAAATACTTACAATAATCTGAACAAATTGTGTACCAGCTGAAGCTTCATATGGTAAAGCTGCCAAATAACGGTTTTCAGTAAATTGACTATATCTTGCTGGAACAATAAATTCTGGATGATTGTCATTCAAGTCAATTACATTAACTGTCACCTGAGTTGTTAACTGAGACAATCCTGCATTAAGAAACAAAAAAAAACTGTTATAGATTCAGGTTTATATCAACAATAGTCAATGTGCTCAATTAACCACTTATGTAACAGGTAGGTCTATCATATTTATTTAATATGTATAATTTCCTCCTCATCTGGTTTAACTATTTTGCACACCAACTGTTTGAAATGTATTTTAAAATAACAAAAAAAAAAAAAAAAAAAAATAAGTTTATTAGCCTAAGACAACAATGTACAGAGTTGGAAGTGATGAGCACAACTTGATACTCAATACCGTTCAAAATTCAATTTCATACTTACCAATAGAGTATTTTTAGCCCCTTTGCCCTGACATAAGAGTTTAAATTGTGTTCAGATTAAACTAGATATGTTTACCTGCAACTCTTCAGTTAATTGCAAAAATAGGTAACTTTGAATTGTAATAAATAAAGAATAAAAAATTGTGTAAGATTCTAGACGTTTTTAAACAAGACAGTATTGAAGAACAAAAAATAAGTACTATCAAATTTATCTGATTTTTACTTTTATGACAAAAATGAATGCTAATATCTTATTTAAAAATATTTTTTCATACATTTGCCATTTGCACACACACATATATAAATAATTATCACAGTGATGTTGTTTCAATGGAAATTTAGGTAGACAGAGTAGGTTTGAAAACTTTGAATGTACTGCAACTACCTGTTGAATGAAAAGGAGATGACATTTTGGCTTCTGTACTGAGGTCTTCTTCAAGTCACTGTAGATTTTTGTGTAGATTATGTGGGTGATTGATGGGTGTTGTTAGTAGGACTGTGAAGTCATCATATTATCTATAGAGGTTGTTGAGGGTGGTTGTTCATAGGTCAGTGATGTACAAATCATTGTTTCTGTTGAGTTCAGATTGGTGTAATTTAATGTAGATAGTTTTTGATTTTTCTTTCTTTCCAGTGGTAAGCTTTGTCTAAAATTCTATGTTGATCCCAGTTTATGATATTTCCTGCTTTTGTAGTTATGTTCTCTGCTAAAGCCGATTTATCTGGATGTGTTAGTCGAATTGCATTTTTATGTTCCCCTAATATATGTTCTATCATCTGACCAATTTCTCCAACATAAACGTTGTTGGACAAACATAGTACTTTGTAGATGAGTTCTACTTGTTTCTAGTGCCAGACAAATGAAACTGTAGAGTTCTACTCAACAAAACAGATTATGAAGAAAAACTACAATCCATTATACAGACAGGACCTTATAAGGAATTTAAAAACACCATCAATAACCAAACTAAACAAAAAATTAACAAAAATAACAGAGATTGGAACCTGAAAATTATCGAACTCTAATACATAAAGGAAGCAACCCACCTCACCTGTATGGTTTATGTAATATAAATAACACTGAAGTTCCTCTTAGACCCATTATCAGTGCCAGAGACTTACCTTTCCATAACACAGCCAAATTCCTTTCAAAAGTTTGTAATCCATTAACCACTAATTCACCAGCTAGAATCAAACATGCAGAAATGTTTGTAGAAATCTTTAGAACCTTTAGATGTTTTGATCAATTTTGGTGTCACTAATATGTTCCCCAGCATTTCCATCAATGTAATCATTCCATTGGTCCACAAGAGATTAAAGGCAGATAAGTCCCTACATTTGTGCACAAATATCAATAGACAGCTTGTTAGAACTTTTGACCTTCTGCACTAACTCCATATACTTTCAATTTCAAAATAAATTCTATGGGAAAACCAGTGGCCTTTGTATGGGATCAGCTCTATCACCCATTCTCAGCAACATTTTTGTGAAAGATTTTGAAGCCAGCACCCAGCTTAAGATTTGGAAACAATATGTTGATGAAACATTTGTTATTTGGTCTCAGGATTATCATAAGTTGGAGATTTCCTCTACTACTTAAGTTCTATAAACCTCAGCATACAATTTATCATGCAGTTAGAAGAAAATAAAAACCCTTCCACTTTTGGATATATTCATTCACAAACTTGATGATTACCTCACCACTACTGTTTACATATAGGAAACTCACTTACTCACACTAACACATTCCAACACAACAGATCCAACTGCCCAAAAGCTGTTAAACAAAGAATTATATCAAACATGGTTGATAGAGCCACAAAGATTTGTGATGAAGGCCTTGTTGATAGAGAACTCACCTTCTTAGAGAAAATTTTCAGAAACAAAGGATAACATTCCAGTTTTATATCTGTCATCGAGAAGAACAAGATTCCACAACACTCATAACAAGACCAAGTTCAACATGAATCAATTTTTGATCTAGCATAAATTTCCAAGTTAAGTGAAAACTTAAAAGAATTTGCTGGAAGTTATATGTTATAGTTCATTTTAAAGCAGTAAAATGTCTACAAAATACCCTTACTAAAGTGAAATAACTAACCAATAAGTCTAAACAAAAAGAACTCATCTATAAAGTACCATCTTTGTGCAGCAACATTTACATTGGAGAAACAGGTCGGAAGATAGAACGAAGATTAAAATAACATAAAAATACAAAACAACTAACATATCCAGATAAATTAGCCTTGGCTGAACATAACTACAAAACAGGGTATATCATAAACTGGGATCAGCATATAACTTTAGACAAAGCTTGCCATTGGAAAGAAAAAAGCTCAAAGAAGCTATCTACATCAAAGAGGCAAAAACACAATAGACATGTTCTTCTAAAGATAAAAGATGTTTGGGAGAAACACGAGTTGGTGATGAAAACACTAATTTAAGTGTACCATAAAAACAAATGTAGTGCTTTCTTAAATTCCTTAGACCCAAGTGGATGCTCCCCGTGTCCAGCCGAAAATTCCAATTTACCCATCGAACAGTGACAGCATCTGATATCATTTATTTCTCTGAAAACTAATCCAAACCATGTTATTATTCACCTTTTATGAATAGATTGGAAGTTCCATAAAGCATTTATGTTTGTCTTGAAACAAATTTCAGATCAATGGGTGTGTGTATGTTTTCTTATAGCAAAGCTACACTGAGTTGTTTGCTGTGTCCACCTAGGGAAATTGAACCTCTGATTTTAGTGTTGTAAATCCGAAGACTTACTGCTGTCTCATTCAGATCAACAGCAGAACATACAAAAAATTACAGGTTTAAAAAGTTAAAGAGTACTCCCGCAGACATATTGGTTCAAGCAAAAGTTGACCAATCATCCAAACAGAAATGAAAAAAAACAAAAACAACAAAAAAAACATAGGAATGAATTGCTGAAACAAAAGCTAGGAGGGCTCTGGTGAAAGTTAAATTTTTTTACTGTAAAAATGCATTTCAGATAGGTATTTACCTCACCTCATCCAAAGCTATTTTGATCCTGGACTGCCCTCTGAGCATTGCTAAAAACATTTTTTGCTACAGTGCACTAGTCTTATACACCATCAGTTTTGTTCCATTTCAGAACATGTGCTGATCATGTGACTACTCTCCACCAATTTGTGTCATCTATACTAGTGCAGCTAGCTGCCTCTACTATTCTAGAAAAATCCTCACTTTTGAGAATTGGCAGGCATAAAATATAAACACCAGCATCTCAGTGGAGAGGAAGGGTGGGAAGTGGGCGAGAGAGGTAAGTACCTATTGGAAATACATTTTCAGAGTAAGAAAATGTTAACTTCTGAAATGGTACTACCTCCTCTCATCCAAAGCTAGAATCCCACATTTCCAAGATGGAGGGGAGGGTGAAGGTGCATCAATCTCAAATGAAGTAGAAAAGTGACCAAACTGAAAGAACAGGTGTGCTAGAATATGAAAAGAAAGCAACCAGTGGGGTACAGCACTATTTCTGGAACAGGAATGCTCTCCACCCAGCAATCAATACAGTAACACAATTGGGGCAGAACTGAATTGATAGGCACAATAGAAGTCAATAAAGAGACATACAGCATTGAATCACAGCAGGAAGTGCTAGATAACTATGACATGAATCAGTATGGTGTTGATAAACATGGAAAGGCTTGTGTGTATGCAACCACTTTCCCCTACATGTATGTACCAAGGGAAGTACCTTGTGTTAACCCTTCCATTACAGGATAGGTGATAATGTATGCATATCTTTGCAAAATTTTGCAGGTTACTGGCAAACATTACAAGGCTTTTGTACACAAAATATCAGGTTTTTAAATTAATTAATAAGATTTTTTAATTAAACATTTTCTCATAAATTTTTTTCTTTCAGAATGGTGAATATCCAACATGCAAAGTAATTTTGATTTTAAGATTAAAAATACTTTTAAGCATTAGAACATTTTCAAATTTCATATGAGAAATCTTTATAACCTCCAGAAAAAACTTTATATTTTATGTGTTATTTTAACTAATGTATTTCAGTATGAGTTAGTTCAATTTGACTGACTTCGTAACCTCAATAAAAAATTAGGAAATAAATAGAAATTATGCTTTTTTCCTTCTAGAATGACTACAAATTTTAACATGAAAACACAAGTGCTTAATTTAAATAGTTTAAAATTCATAACATTATACATTATTGAACTAACATTATTAAAGTTGCAATTACGTGGCGCACGTACGCTGGTGTTACCGTATCCAATAATATAAAGCTGGCCTTTACAAAGTTATGTATATACATTATTACTATTTACAAATAAGTTCTTAAGCTTATTTTTCTTAAAACATAGAACAGTAAATATATAAGTATAGCAAACAATTATATCTTCCAGTTATGACCTTTGTACTTATTTGCTGCTTGCTGTAGGTTACTAAGCCTTATAAAATTTCGCATGTGGAGAATGTGAAATGAAATAATCTTTTTAAAATTTTATATAAACATTTTGAAATAACCAAAAATCATAAATTACTATATCAATACCATAGAATTCCACTATAATTTTTCAAACTTAGTAACTAAGCTGTATTTATGTTTAAAAAAACATGAAATTTCAAGATCACTAAAGTTTCACTTTACCTTTTCAAATCCAAGCTTTACAAGAACGAGTCTGGTACTGAATACTTCATTTACAC